TGTGCAATGATTGATTCTAGGGCTAGGTCCAAAACAAGCATGCTAACACCTTCTGAAAATGACCTTCTCTATGTTTTTATTCAATGGAAACGTATTATATCAAAGAGAACCCACAAACCAACCGCTTCTGCTGCATTATAGGTGGAGTGTTTTCAGGCAGAGTTCCAGTCCCAGCCAATAATTCAAAACTCTCATGTAAATAAAGCTTAGGGCAATATGGAATAAAAAAGCAAGACAACACTTGCAATAACGTAGATACGATGCCAAGAGACACTGCCACTACATACAGCATCCATGAATGAACATTAAAAAAAAAGTTAAGTCTGGGAAAAAAACCCAAAACTAAAAGCAAGATAGAGGATATCTGCTTCAGTCACCAGGGTCTGCAACAACTGTGAAAAGCAACAGCAACTTTCATGTTGACAACATTCTTCCAACTACCAGCAATCCAATTTCCCAAGATTAAAAGCCATCACGAAGCTCATCTCCTTCCTACAGGAGACAATAATTAATTACTGACCCTTCAGAAAGCCTAGGAAAAGTTAGCTTGATACCTATTTTTACCAGCCACAAGTACCATCTTTTCCTCATGCAAGGCAACTGGCTCCGCTGTCTAGGTAAGCAAGACACATTTGAGCATAAGTGGAACTGGCACCTTGTTAAGTTGAAGGTAAAAGCTTTAAATGTAATAACAACAATGCACCCATGTCATTTATTTTCCAGTTTTGTCTGTCAGCGATTTTTCTAATTACTGAAGCACACCTTAAAACATGATGTGAGCTCTACTGACTGGGAAGACGTAAACAAAGCTTGTCTTTCATATACTGGCTGAAAGAACATGCATTTGTTTACCTTACCTGTCTCGTTACCAGTTACTTGTAATATAAGCTGAAAATAAGTAAGCTTTCTGAGGCCCAGCATGGGAAAGTGTAATTCATTCCTACTAAGTTCTTTTCAGCTCTTCTCACCTGGTAAGCAGCGATGATCTAGAAATCTAGAATAGTATACTAATAAACCCAGAGAGCTGACTTCTTGTGTCTCTATTCAAACAAGAAACTAAGAAAGATCACAGGTGGGGAAAAAAGGGGGGAGGGTATATCAAATAAACTTCAGTATAAGGAACTTACACAACCACTAAGTTCTACTCCGTTTAAGAACTAGAATGCAACTTGGTTATTTGGGTCACCTACCCCATCAGACAAGTGTTTTAGTAAGAAGCTGATCGCGAAGACATCTGCAAGACTCACTGTTTTATACTTACTTTTCTTGGAGAGATTTCTTTTGAGACACTATTAGAAAGAAGGGATACTTATTCCGCATCATCCAACCATCTCATTTGTCTCAAGTGGCCTTTTATATTATTCTCATAATTTTGAGACAAAAAAATACCAACAGGAGCCTTTTTCTATTTATGTCATTTCTATAATGGGCATCTGAAAATGCAAAAACATGCCAAGACGACAAGACAGACTTCGTTTCCCAAGACTTTGAATTACAAAGATATATGGGCTGAGTCTGGATCACATAAAAAGATAAACTGAATCATCACCAAAATTCTCTTGTCGCCTAATCTGAAGTCCATATAAAAAAAAAAAATGTATTTTTTTTAAATCTACCTGCACAATGGGCATTAGAATGCTGAAGACCAAAAGCATCAGCTATAGCACAGAAATTGAAGAACGCTTTTGGACAGTTATGAAAATAAAACTGGAAAAGTAGCGAAGTAGCATACGGAGTTGAGGATTAGCAAGAAAGAAATCACTAGCCACTTGTCCCTTTTTTTCCCCATAAACTCAAAGTTAAAAAGGAATCACACTTCACTCTTCCTTGAAGAAAGATGTCAAGGTGTACAAGCCAAAGACCACCTAGATAAGCTTATATTACATTAGCTTTCTTTTTACATCTGTCTTGGGTTTGTTCTCAAGTCAAGCCTGCAGCTCTCTTATTCAGAATAAATTATTCTTGTCACAACTCTGATCTTTTAAATATATACAGCTCTCCGCAAAGCTAAGGTGCAACTGAAAACAGGCAGTTGCTTTAAGGAAGGAGAAATAGTAAAGCTTTTAGATCACCAAGTTGGACAGCACAGTTTAACTTAAAAAGCTATATAATGACCTTTATAAACTGCAAAAGAAAGAGGTGACAGGTTTCCTAGTTATTATGACTTGTTTTATCTACTAATAGGTAAAAAATGGATGGTATCTGAGCAAAACATGCACACATTTTATATGCACAATGACAGAGTGAGCTCTATAAGGTACTTGATGAAAAAAAGTGAAACGTAATTGCAAAAGTCTTTGGCTCGAATCAACGTACAGATAATGATTTACTTACAAATACATAGAAGACTACTGCTCCCTCCCCCATCATTTAGAAAGTTATTTACTGTTAAAGTCTCTTGTCTCAAGTCTATCCAGCTCCACTTGTTCATTTCTTCACCTCCCAAAAAACCTACAAAAGCAAACAGAGTATTTCCTTCTGCAATGTGACCTTTCTCCTCAATCTTGGCAGCCACCATAAATAATCTTCTCATCTTGACAATTCCCATGTGCTACAGTACATGCTGAAGACAGTCAAAGATCTCTCTTGTGAGGATGGACAAATAAGTTGTTAAAAGAAAAAACCACCACCACACACGTGGATTATGCTCTGTGATGCCAACCTGAGATCATTTCCTCTTACTCACTTCCTAAAACAAAACTCCTCCTTTCTCAAGTACAAGTTCTTTCGGTTAGTGGCCCCCAGTTTCACCTCTCAGGTATTTCAGACAGTCGAATCCATCTTTAAAGGATCTTTCGTGCTCCAATTCCAACTATTAAGGATTTCTTACATTTTAAAATATTGCTTTTTAATACCATATATAAAAACTACTCTGCATTAATTAATCTAAGTATACTGCAAGAATTAAATAATTTGCAAGATGTGCAGCATCAACTATCTGACCCTTCTAGAATTGAAACACGAATAAGTGCAATTGCAAGGACTCTGTGAGAAAGGCCTCTTTTTCCAAATCAAAAGCAGCATAGGCTCATAAAAATACCTTTAAGCCTAAGGCATACCGCTTCAACACAGACAGCAGGTGAAAATAAAAAGGCTGTATGAAAAGACAGCCCTAACGAGCTTTTGGATTAAGTCTTTGCACCACCTGGAAGACTTGGGTCTTCACATAATGTGTCTCTCCTAAAAGCTAGACATCATCAAGAAGCAGAACCAGTCCTCTCTCCCTTTCCCAAAGCAACAGCAAGCAATGCCTCCCAAGTGCAAGAAGGAAAAGCTCCCCAGGGCAACAACCTGGGGGAGGGAGAAGGCAATAGCTGCAACCACAGCTCACGCAGCCCATCAGCCCTCTGCTGCCTGTCCCTGCGAGCGGCCCCCCACCCTGCAGCTCCGCACACAAGCCGGAGGGGAGAGGGGGGTCCTTCCCACCCCTCCTCGCTGCAGGGATGAGGGGGGCCCCGGCCCGCTCTGTGGCAGGGCGGGGAGAGGCCGCCGCGGAGCCCCCCGCCGC